CGGAAAGAAAGATGACAAGGACGGAAAGAAAGATGGAAAGGACGGAAAGAAAGACGGCAAGGATGGCAAAGATGGCCACAAGTACTACGACACTTCTTGCTGGAACGCCCACTACAACTACTAAGTTCGACGAAGCTTTATTCTTCGAACAGGCGGGGTGACAATGGACATTTGTAACACTGTATGTATAGTATTGTATACCTCCAATGCAATTTGCATATACTCTCTTCTCTTTTACTCTTTCCGTCTTGTAACTAGATGGGAGGAATGTCTCTCATCTTGTAGCGCTGTTTCAGTGAGAGTTGACGTTGAATACTTGTGGTGTAAGGCGAACACAATCTGACTTCGATGCGTGGACTCCCAAGTAACAACTGATATTGTTATGTACTAGCCGGTAAAGGAATGATACAACATTAAGGCAAAAGAAGGAAGGAAGGAAGGAAGGAAGGTACTAAGCAACGGTTCCATAGCCGATTCAAGCATATGGCCGATCGATAACCAAGATCGTAGTCATCGAAGACGTTGATTTCAATCGTCTGCAGGGTGGGAAAGTCAATATAGACTCCAGGAAGTGCGTATTATCTTCGCGTGTTTTGATGCGCAGGTTCTTCCAGCGTTGGCAGGATTGAACAAGTAGGGGCATGACCTCGTTCTATTTTGCCAGCCTGTGTACTTGAGATAGGTCCGTAGTATCTTGGGAGCATGCTTGGAGATAGGGATCTTTATGACAAGCCTCTGAGCCCCGGATGCAGGAGATATGTGTAACGTATCCCTCCAAAGCCCACAGCCATGGCCCCAAACCCAAAGCGGTACGGCTACGTCTAAACTATCACGACCTGGGGGCGAGTTATGCCACCACGATTCGCGAGCATACAAGGATTGCAGCAGTTCCAACTCGACGATTTCTGCGTTGATTGGAGCATGGTCAGAGTCGAGTAACGGTCGCAACCCGCGTAGAATTTGAGAAACTAAGCTGTCAGAGCTCTGGCTGGTTTTGATATTTTGTGGCTGTAGCTCGAGAGGAAGAAGGTTGACGGATCCACAGTCGCGACACGACATGAAGGGAAGAGGCAACAATTGCGCGTGGTCTTGACTACTCCGCACTTGTCGCTGCAAACTTTTTGTGTTATTCCTCAGTATTGGCCTAATATTTCTCCCTTCAGGAAATCGTAGTCCGATGTGCCTCAAGCTGGAGAAGAATTGACCGGGAATTCATGAGGACCACCATGGAATCGTGACGCAATTTTTGTATACTCACTGGGCACTGTACTGGTTGCCGACGATGCATTGGTGAGTGACTCCTTGTCTCTTGATCACTGTATTTAATGTTCATCCACTAGATGGTGGTCGCACTACATCTACCTTGTTGGCACTATTATAAGGTTCAAATGTCTCAATATCCCTTCTCAAGGCCTTATTAAATTTCAAATGCAGTGTCATTTTCCGTCTCGTTCTGCTCTGAAGGTCTCCATGTACCCCAAGGCCCTTATCGTCTCTCCCCTGCAATATACCTCGTCTCGGCCACCGGAAGATTGTTCTCGCAGATAGCTGGGCCTGACGATTCCTTGTATGCATGTAAGTCGCCTGGCAAGCCGGCGCTGGCAGAGCTCGTACCTGTATATGAAGCATTCTGGCGGTCTGGTTCCCCACTTTTGTGGTGGAAGTGAAGCGAGATGATGAGCTTGTCTAGACGCGTGAATGGGATGCAAAGTGCGTGGGCGCTCTCACTGACAAGTAATCTCTCCGACATTTTCTGCTCGTCGTACTCAAAGTTTATTCGGATAGATACCGCCCAACATTTTTACGTTGACCTCGGCCCTTCGTATCATATCCCGGGAGATGAAACCCTATGACCATCCAATGGCTATCGCCATCTCTCTTCCCTGCATGACCTTCCCAGCAGCAGGTTTTTTCCAAGACCCTTCCTGCTCTTTCCAGAATTCATATCGTCCTATACTCTTTTGACGCAGAGGACACGCGATCGTGGACGCATGGGTCCAATGCTAGTAATTAGCATGGAGTTCGGCTCTCCCGAGGCGCCTTCTCTCTGTGCGCTAACCGCGACGTATCCTCAGCGCCTCAATTTCGATGTCAGTGGATCCTTTCAACACGCCCTCCGCTAAAGTTGGCTTGGACAGAGGATTCATCGATGTTCTACTTTTCCACGAGTAACCACGATGGTCAATCCGAGTCGCGTCAGAGATCAGCCTGCAACCCTTCCGATCGTAAAGAAGAAAGATAGTCCCAGGACTGATATCCATATGTTCCATCGTCATGTCATTGGATCACCAAGTCCAGCTACAAATTAACAATCAACTTCAAGAACGGGCATTGTCCGTCCATTCGACCTACATGACAATAAATTTTACGGTTCCCGCAGAGACTCAGCTTATTCAAACACGCGCAGGTGATTCGATAACCTCAGGCTGACCACATCTCCCTCGTGACTTGTTCACAGATATGGAACAAGACTGAACTCTTGTTACGCGAACGGGATGCAACACACTTGATGCTCGCTGGTGAGTAATCTATTTGACATTCCTGCTTGTCGGACTTGAATACGCATTAGATAATGATTGCTGCTGCCCGTATGATCATCATGGTGGATACGTCACCAATACATGCCCGGATTCCAAGCCAGAAGATGGAAAAGTGGCTTGACGTGATGCTTGTGACTTCGCACGCGGGTAATGGTCTCGTGTTTTCTGAGGCTAGAGAGCTTCTCGTAATAACCTGGTTAGTGGTATCGTCGACTAGGACTCACGCGCCAACACGTCCGGCTCATGCATCGTCCATTCACTCGAGAGTCGCATCCTGTTCTTGCATCCTCCACTCTCGCCTTTTATTCCACCTCGCCGAATCTCCATGAGTTACGAGTCGCACCTAGGAAATATTTTGGGCGTGGAGTCTGAATTTCTTGTCCGCTGTCTACGCTGGCACCCGTGGATTTGAACGCCTCAGGACCGCGGGAGGGAATTCACTCTCTCGGCGCGAAAGGACTGGTAGCCGACGCACTTCAAAATCTACTGTACGTGTCGATGGCGAAGTTGGTTATCGCATCTGATCCTCAGTTCGAATCTGGGCCGACTCATTATCGCCAAAAGAACATCTGCATATTTTTGTTTTTTCAGCCTCGTCGACACTGAGTTGAAACTTGACGCTCTACTCGTCGATAGTCACAATGTCCGAACTTTGAATCCGGGTCGGTAACGAATACCTTCGGGTTTTTGTTTCTCCTGACCTATGCAAGTCGAATCGAATGGCAGACATTACCGTTTTCTAGACGAGTTTTATGCTCAGCATCTTCCAGATTTCGGGAAAGATGAGGCTTGGGGCACCGTGATCCTCAGATATACCTTGAATCTTCAGTTTGAACCTGGGTCGACTCATGTGCTTCAATGTTGGTGAGTGCTTTTACTTGGCTCAGGGTCCAGGGAGTACGAGCATAGATCTTACATAGTGGACCTAGGGTCAATTGTTTTTGCTGCGATGATGATACACAGGCCCTTAGTGGGATCCTTTGTACGGCGCCAGCCTTCTCACAAGCCGTGTTGACCTCCCTCTCCGTGCACCGCACTTGGGATCAAAGAATCCGTAGGTCAACTCAACAAATCATGGCTGACGACGCTTTTGCTTTGAGAGCCAAGCCTCTGACGTTAATTTAGAGCATTATTCTTTTCTCAGAGAGGGGTGAGTAGGTGTACGATGAATGCTAGCGGGGCAAGTTCCGAACGCGAACATGTACGCCTCGTGGATGCCTTTGCGTTCCCAAGTACGATCTTCTTCTGTCGCGTCCGTAGGTTGGCAATCTTCAGCTCCTCGCGGCTTCCATGAGATTAGCGCGATCCAGTCTGATGCTTCTCCTATTACACCTATGATACAGTACGATACATATCCTCGTAGTAAACCAGTTACTCATTCATAGCAAGGGGTGGTGTAGTAGTGGGCGTTATGATGTGGCAGCTGAAGCAGGAACGAGGGAAATCGTTGTAGCTGCAGAGGAGGCGGCACTAACAGTTGCGGAGGCTGTGATAACAGAGCCGCCAGCCACGCCCGTCAAGCTTGCGAGGAGACTCGAAGCCTCGTCTGGGGACAGCGTCTTTGTGACGGGCACCTCGGTGCTCACGAACACTGTCGCGGTGGGAGTTAGGGTGACCGTCACGGTGACGATTCCACTGTCGGCAGTGGAACTAGAACTAGAACTGGAACTGGAACTGGAACTGGAACTACTAGACGTGGAGTTGGCACTAGTCGTGGAATTGGACGTGTCGGTGCCAAAGATGCCTCCAGTGGCGCCCGTAGCATCGATGACGGACGTGGCGTCCTTCTCACTCGTGCACTGTATAAACTACAAACAATATCAGCTTCGGGGAATCAATGAAAGACAAAAGCAAGGCACGCACGGACCCGTTCCCCCTCACAGAAGGGATTGCAAAACACTGCGCCGAGCCTGTACAAGGTGACGTCGTCCATCGGTTATCGGCGCACTGAGCCACGTCTCCAGATATACATGCCACTTGGCCGGCTAGAAGAGAGTGAGTGGGGAGAATAGTCGGGGAATAGATTCAGACGCACTGGAACACGTATCATTGACGGCGAGGCTCTGAAAGGCGACGTTCTGGGACTGGGCAGCTTTGCCGTTCGCGAGGAGGGCAGAGGCGTCGAGTGAGGCTGTGGGTGCCGCGTGTGTGGAAAGGAAAAGGGTCGTAGCGAAGAAAATGGAAGAAAGCATCATTGAAAGAGTGGAGAAAAAGCACCAGGCTGGAAAGAAGAGAAAAAGGTGGAAGGCATTGGGGACAGCGAGGCTTTTTTTATAAGTGCCATACGAGAACAATAAACAAAGAGTACAAGGACCTCTTTGTTCTCTTGGCAGGGTGACGTATGGATATTTCGGCAAAGGCCGAATTCACGATGAAGACTAACTCAATTCTGGTAACTTAATTCTGAAAACCTGATTGAAACTAAAAAGTGAAAAATATCAACAAATGCCCCGTAATGAATGAGTCGACCCAGGTTCGAACTGAGGACCTTCTGTGAACAAGGGTGCAGGACTATGTTAGACAGATGCGATAACCAGCTACGCCATCGACCCATTGTGATGGTGAGTTTGGGACTTTATTTCTAACCAGTATTACGACGTGACTTCTTAAGACGAGTCAGCGCACTGGGCATCTCATCTCACCTTCATCATCCCCGAGTACGCATGCAATGTGGAACCCCGAAACAACATTGGCATTGGTATGTACTACGTGCATAAACACCGGTATAATACTAATACACCATCAGCTCAAAGGCGGAGAAGGTAACAAAATGGTTGAGCGCTAAGCAGACAGGCATCAGCACCGACCGCGACAATACCAGCGAAGCATCTCCCACCTGAACGGGAACAACAATAAAGCAAAACCCACTCTTCAATCCTACAACAAGTTTACTCGCTGTGAAATCGACGAATCAGCCCGCGTGTACACGTCAGACGAAAAAACCTTGAACTTACAGGAGCGACAAGGTGATGTCACCGTTAACTTTGGCCTGGATGGCGATATCAACCTCAAGGTTAAGATCAAGACGGAGCTTCAAAGCTGCGGGAGGTGCAACAGCCTGGCGCTCAGAGCGACCAACAATCTGTCCACCGAGGACGGAAGAGGATTGAGTAGGTGCGAATTTGGTAGCAGTTTCTGGGGCAGACATTGTGATGCTGAAGAAAGAGACTCGACTCGCAGGTCCTTTTATAACTGAAGGGAGCTTTGGGGATTTTCTCGACTATGAAATATCGATGGTGACACGGCGTGTGTATCACCGGTTCACTATTGATATTTCATAATAGACATTCTCCTGAAGCTAACTTGGTCTAAGCAACAATGCACTTTTTCAGCATCGGCTTGTCCCCGAAAACACGCGTCAGAAGATTACGGGAAGGGCAGTTCGAGTGGGGTTGGATACTCATTGTACTTACCTGGTGCCCAACCGTTTGTCGCTCCACCCCTTTGGCTCCGAATTACCATGTCCTGACTATAACTTAAATCGGTGATAATAATCCCCTCGAAAATTGTACATGTTTAATAAACCTTTATGTACCTGTCTGAAACGTTTTCTTCCTTCTAATTCTACGCCTTCGACGAGGCACCCGAGTTGATAAATGCACCATGGCGTAATCCATCCTAATCCAGGGAAGGGGGTCGATATTCGTATAAAAGGAGAACTTGGAGGGTTAACTATTCTTCAGCATCACAATGTCTGCCCCAGAAACCGCTACCAAATTCGCACCTACCCAGTCCTCCTCCGTCCTCGGCGGACAAATCGTCGGTCGCTCTGAGCCCCGGCCCGCACCTCCCGCGGCTGTGAAGCTCCGTCTTGACCTGAACCTCGAGGTTGAGATCGCCATCCAGGCCAAGGTTAACGGCGACATCACCTTGTCGCTCCTGTGAGTGGATTTCCGGTGTTGACGCGTCGTCGGGCTGACTGTTTGACTCGCAGTGAGTAAATGTGTTACGCGTATGGAGCGGAGTCGGCGTGTAGTTGTTCGTTCGAGGTGAGATTGGCCGTTTAATAATATTCGTCGGTTTCGTGCTGATACTTGTTAGATCTAGTCTTTGGTTGACAGTGTATTAGTATCTGTATACCTATTAGATACTAATATCAGTGTTATTCTGGGTCATGCATCATGCAATTGAGGGTTTACTAACAACGCAAGTTATGACATGTGTTGCAAGTCTCGAGGTAGCAACTTCATCGACTGGTACTGTTGGTCGGATTTCGATCGAGCGGTAAAACGTTACTCTCCCACGTGCTTCGATGCGTTTCTCTCTCCCACATCAACGCGTTCCAATTCGTTCAACGGGACTCTACCATGCAAGGACAGCTCATATCCTTTGCTTCTTCCCCAACTTTTCAAGTTCTCGGCCTGCTGCCCTACATATGTCGTGAGGTCCAAACCCTTGGAATGAACCAGAAAATGGGCACTGTAGGACGAGCAAGTTTGAAAGGTGGCAGGGAGGCATAAAGTACAATGATTCTTTACATCCTAACCAAGTTCGTTTCCGCTCTCTGCTTTCCGGAACGCATACATATTGGCTCTTCCAAACGAATCCTTTGAACAAATAGCGTAACCGGAAGAACAGTGGCATTAACAGGTTCATGAAAGTGTTTCGGTACGGGCATAGCAAAACTGGCAACACGCATGATCACGGTTAAGCATGCAGGCTTTCTTGGCTTGTTCGTCCCCATCGACGAGTTCAGCAGAAATCGTATGGATACAATGTGCCCTCTAGTACGCAATCTTTCCGAGTCGCGCCTCGCGTCTCGTTCCTGCCTCTCATCGCAATATCCCGTGGCGACCATATTTCGTGTTCAGTCTCACGAGTGGCAAGGCAACAGGTCTAGAGTTTCCTAGTGCCATGAGACAGTGCTTCTTCGTACAGTTGTTACTCCCCGATACACTTGGCTCTCCTGTCTGACCCGAGTTGTTCATGTACGATCTATTTCTCAGCCTTTTCACATCCTCACTCGGCCCAGATTCTTGTCTCCGCCTTGCACTTTACCATACCTTCAGAAAGGCGGCCAAGGGTCACCTTTCTGTAGGAAAAAATCGGCGCTCTAGGTCGATGCCAATAGAAAACGGTGACTAAGATTCATCTCCCAACTTCTTGGCATCTGTACGTTTTTCGGACTTTGCTCTAAGATGTTGTCACGCTGCAAAGGCAAGGATGCTAACGCTGATTGACCTCCCTCTCATAGCTCCGAAATGGACGCGCACCATCATCCCACGTCCAAACACGCCGCGGACACCATCGTCGTCCGTTCATGTCAAATGAACCTCGACAAGAATTCAATCATTATAATGGATCACTTGTCACCGAACTGGTAAGCTCACTCAAAACCATGATCCCGAACAAAACACTGATATTCATATCCAACAGGTATAAAAACGCTCGTAAATACTAATACAGTGTAGGTAAGGGAACAGGAGATGATGGATGGTTGCAGCCCGCAAGTATGTGAACGATTTCTAGTACAAGTTTTATTATGAAAACGGCGAAGGCATGGTAGAGTAAATTTCTTACCTCGATCGAGCTAATGAAAAGCAACTGCACGTCCGCGAGCATGTCGCCCATTTACTCACTGCGAGTCAAACAGTCAGCCTGACGATACGCCAACACGGGAAATCGACTTACAGGAGCGACAAGGTGATGTCGCCATTAACCTTGGCCTGGATGGCGATATCAACTTCGAGGTTGAGGTCAAGACGAAGCTTCAAAGCTGCGGGGGGTGCAACAGCCTGGCGCTCAGAGCGACCAACAATCTGTCCACCAAGGACGGAAGAGGATTGGGTAGGTGCGAATTTGGTAGCGGTTTCTGGGGCAGACATGATGATACTGAAGAAATATACTCAATCCGGTGCTCTTTTTATACCAGTATCGACCCCGACCCTCGCCCCGGATTAGGATGGGGGCCAGAGCAACATGCCACCAAACTCGGGTGCCTCATCCCGTCTTGATTGACCCTCGAGGGCGAAACGCTCCAGAAGAGAAGACTTCTTGTCAAGTTTGGGATACGTAAACGGCTCTTATTTTGATTATATCGGCCCGAGGATACAAGCGCTTGTTCGGTAAATGCAGACGTATGGGTCATTGTAGGTCCAACCAAGCAGAGGTCTAGACCGTGAGAAGGATTGTTGGTTGCCTCCCTACACCCATCACGCGTTCTGCCCTACCTTTGCTTCTCATAACAGAGCTTCCTTGATCACCAGAAAAAACAATTCCAGAAAAGATTCCGCGCGAGATACGTATCCGTTTTGAGGAGTAGGCCCGCCTCGAGTCTTGCATGCCCAACCTCGAACTTTGCAGCCCTAGTTACTGGAAGACGTGACAGATCATCTGATGAGGGCACATCGCGAGGATGTATTGACAGTGCACAAACGTTACCGGGGAGGAGCTTGCACCGATGCCACGACGAACGGCGATCAGAGACTCGTTTTTTTGTGAGAGTTTCCTTGTACTTGCATCCTTACCTGATATGCGTCTATTCAATTCTCTACCACCTTCGTTGTCAGAATCTCCAACTGGCTTACGGTCGATTGTATAATTCAGTTATGAATATCTAGATTAGCAGCACGACCTGGCGCGCCGTAAATGCCAGGGATGCGCTCTCTTTCTCAACTCGAAAGCAATACGGCGTGTATCCCTTTCCGGAGCGTCCTCACTGCTCTGTTCTTCTTCTGTGCTTGCAGATTACACGATCAGGCCGTTCTTGACCTCCATCTTTAAACTGTTTGTCTTTTTACTGACGCGTGCAGATACCGTTCTGGCGAATCTATTGGTTTTTGTTCTCGATACGCCATATATGTTACCTCGCCTCTGAACTTTCTTACCTTTTTTCTATTGCCTTGCATGTTATGGGCTGTATCTACAGCACTGGGCCGTCAGTATTGGTGTCTTTACGTTCTTTTCTCCTAGTGATGTGTCGTATGGGTCTTTCTGTTAAATAAATGATGTAAAGAATGCAAAATCATTTATTGGTCTTTATCGGGGTCGAGCAAAGATTGTGCGTCTCGAGTTTGACTATGCAGATGATGGGTTGCCAGTGTTGAACCACTAAGGGTCTAGACGTAGCCACGACAGAACACGTCCAACGACCCGGGGAACAAGGCAGAACACGTTACTATTTATGATACTCTACACCTCGTAAGAAACTGGCTTCAGAAAGGATAACCGGGATGAAGAGGGAAAGGAGGATACCTAAAAACCAGGGATACCATCGTAGATAGCGTACTCGTTGCAAGGAATAAGACGCAGAGTCAAAAAAAGGTAACCACTAAGGACTATCAGCACGCGCTGGAGATGATTTGATAGATGATACATACTCGGCGCGGAAGCAGACGAAGTCGGGCTCGATCAATTGAACGGGTTGGCAGAACCCCAGGAGCGCAAAGATGATATCACAATGACTGACGAGTCAGGAAGCACCATTACAACTAAAAAAACATAACACATTTGTGAAAGGGATGTAGTAGGGACCAGAAGCAAAGACGATAGTGGGAGAGTAGAAAAGGAGGACAATGGGATGATAGCGATAGGTGGAAAACATACGGCGGAG